ACAGTCAACTGAACGCTGGCTACATACCCACAACTTATACATTCTAATCATAATAAACTGCACGCTCCCTATTAGTGTACAACGTGTTGCTTATAAATACCTGCTTGCACACTTTCTCAATTCACGATTATTTAAATGTAAACACAAACACCCAAGCCGTCTCTGTAAATACTGAAAAGGTTGGCCGTATCCAAATTACGTACCGGTAGCTGAAGCTTGAAACAAAAAGTGGAAAGCCATGTCAATTTCAAGCTGCAGTCGTGTATAACTCCGAAAGGCTATATAGCTTACCACATCGAACACCAGCATCCTCATAATGTCCACAGTTGTGAATGCCAACACCATTGTGCCTACAATCGAAAAGAGTCTCTTCTCTGCCTGTGCAACCAACATTATCCAGTAGAATCTCTAGTCTGTAGTTCCCTCCAAAGGTACCCCCTGTAAGGGCTCGCACGGCTTGGGAGTAGCCCAGTTGCCGGCAGACAACTGTAGCATCGTTAAAACTCCAGCTGTCATCGCAAACTGTTCCCCAGGCGCCATTCAGATAAACTTCCACCCGGCCTTCGTTGGAGCTGGCACCGTCAACGAGTCGTACTTTCACAGCAAAGAATAGGATTATTACAATTTTCCAAATTAAAAGCTCTTAATAGCCTTCAATTCCAAAATAAGAGAAATGCACATTCATCCGTTTTTAATTTTTGACTGTATCATAAAACGGCCTTGTATGTTAGAAAAATGAACGTTGTGAAACGTACGTTTTAATTTCCATACCTTCCAATAAAACAGAAACTTCTCAAGTAAAAAAGGAAAACTATTTAGGCTTTTTGCCATTAAAAAGTATGATGATTCCCCCGCTTTAATAAAGTTTACCTGATGGATTACATTTGACGCCTGCGTCATCGTCATGCGTGCAATTATGAACCCCAATCCCTCTGTGACGACAGCTCAGGAGGTTACTTTCAAGACCACTGCATGACACTTCATCCAGGTGTATTGGTCCAGTACCAACTCCGAATAATCCTCCCTCGGCAGCCCTGATGGCACCGGGGAAGCCAAGCTGCCTGCAAGCCACCTGGGCGTCCTGAAATCCCCACGAGTCGTCGCACACTGTACCCCACTGGCCGTTGCTGAAGACCTCTAGACGGCCCTCGCTGTGAGTGTCACCACCAAGAAGACGAATCTCACCTTCAAAGTAAAAAAAAATATTCTTACAACAATGCTGTCTGATTTTCACACAAGATCGGTCTGCTGAAATGATAAACAATTTCTATGTCATACCTCAAGGTGAAAGTTAACGAGTTCAACAAGAACTATAAATTACTATAACAAAAGCCCGAGATTTCAACAACCTTGTTTGGTTCGTCATAGTCCTAGAAGCACATTATCATCATGTAAATTACTGTGCTTATGTAATGGCAATTACAAACAACAACCCGTCTTTAGTTTTTGGTAAACGTACCACATCTGACCCCAGCATCCTCGTAATGTCTGCAGTTGTGAATCCCGACTCCATTGTGTGAGCAACTGAACACAGTCTCTTCATCACCCGTACATTCAACATTATCCAGGAGTATATCCAGCCCGTAGCCACCACCAAAGACAGCCCCAGTCAAGGCCCGTAAAGCACCTCCGCGACCCAGCTCCCGGCAGATGACAGCTGCGTCATTCAAGTCCCAGTAGTCATCACAGATAGTCCCCCAGACACTGTTGGAGTACACCTCCACCCGCCCTTCATTGGAACTGGAACCGTCCGCTAAGCGGACTTCAATGTTAAAAAAATTGCCAACAAGCGTTACTAAGGTGTTAAAAGCTTCAAGCTTCAGGATTTCATTTATATTTTGCTAATACATGCAGTCGTGAGTAATCATTCAGCGCAACTTATTTAATATATGTAACTAAACTCGATTAACTTTTCATAATGAAACCATTTTCAATGCCAGAAAATTATAACACATCTACAACATCGAGACAGATATTACGCTTGATTTAATAAGCAGGTATATTCAGATTTATCACTGCTTGACTGATCATGAGTTCACATCTTCAAAATATCCCAAGTTCGAGATACTGCATTGTCAAGGTTGTTAATTTTTCAGCTTAGTTCCTCTAAAGTAAAAAACTGCTCAAATATGCTGCGAAGCAATTTAAACAGTGCTGAAATATAACCTGCAAGGGAACACGCAATGGCTACATCCTGGGCATGGTTGCAATTATTGACTCCAATCCCACTGTGAATACAGCTTTCTAGATTGCTTTCTCTGCCGGTGCACATGAGATCATCCAGGTAAATCGGTCCAGTGCCGTTTCCATATGAGCCTGTTGCCACAGCATCTGTGACACCGGGGAAACCGAGCTGTCTGCAAGCCACCTGGGCGTCCCGTAGATCCCAGTGGTCACCGCACACTGTACCCCACGTTCCGTTCAGAAAGATCTCAAGTCGACCCTCATTACGAGTGCTTCCTCCGACAAGACGCAGTTCAGCTGAAAGGGGAATTTCAAACAGTGGAACACTTTTGTTTCTTAAACTGACATGACTGGTATCTCCATGACGCACAGTATGTATACTGACCTGGCCATCAAGCAATTAGGATGCAGTACGACGCTGCAGATTTGTAACCTTTCCATAAACGCATTTTGAGTGCATCTAGCAGTATATGCATAAGTACTGTGTGGAACGATATTGAGTGAAACATGGCAAATGGGTGCACACACATAACGGACCAAAACATGTAGAAAGGCGCATTTCGAAACC